CCCGCCCGCCCGCCCGCCCGCTCACGTGATAACATAATACGTCCCCGTCTTCGACGGGCGTATAAAATATTAAGTATAAAGATCAAAATGATGTGTGAAGTCAATAAATTTTGTTTTACCTGTGTATGTGTTGGGAAGGTGTTAGTACATAAGCCTTAAGCTCTCAAATAAGGATATCCAAGATACTTTGTTTATGTGGTAGTCGACTTTATTCCCGGAGCTGACTTTACCACTAAATCTCATTGTATTGAAAAAGACCTTTGACAATCAGCTCATATATCAGAATGATACATACAAGTACTTGCTAGGCTTCTGCACAATGTATTACGTGATTCTGAATTTAAAAACAGATTGCAAAAAAAAGGGAATGAATCGTAAAATATATAGTATTACAAAAAGAAAATAATTTATTATGTAGCAACAACATTTGACTTATATATGGTTTACATTTTGGGGCTATATTGTTTGATATCGTTATCAATATTGATTTAATCATTATAACAGCACTTCATGTTTGGAATCCTTCAAAAGACTGTTATCTAAACTGGTTACAAATCTGCTGTGAATACTACCTACCTGTACTGTCTTGTGCCACATATATACAGATATCTGCCAGGACTGGCTGAGATGAGTATCCCCTCATGATGGCATCTCTGTAAAAGATATGCACATTTACAATCCCAGTTTAACTTCACGAACTCAGCTGACATTGTCGACATATCCTCAAATATTCTGGAAGTCTTTTATATTTTGTTAAACAAAACAAAACATTAAATGTTGTTTTCCTTTATAGAAGTGATAGTATACCGAGTATAGCAACACTACTTAACCCTTTCCAGTATGCACACCCGCAAGTCCGATATAGAATGACCGGTTTATCTCTATTCTGCTGGATGTCCGACACATGTTCCTTTATCCTTTCCTTAAGTGTACGCTCGTCTCTCCCATATATACAGATATGTCACATTTCAAACATAAACATATATGTGGGAGAGACGGAGCGTACACTTAAGGAAAGGATAAAGGAACATGTGGCGGACATCCGGCTGAATAGAGACAAACCGGTGGCACATCACTTTCTTGGAAGAGGTCATTCTATATCGGACTTGCGGGTGTGCGTACTGGAAAGGGTTAAGGAGGAATCAATAGTAGCAAGGCTTGTGATTGAGGGATTTTGGGTTAACAAACTCAACACTGCTTTCCCCAATGGTATCAATACCAAGTGATGATGATGACGTCACAATTTGTGAGGTCATGGTTTGATGACGTCATTGTGTTGTGTTGACGTCATGGTAACAGTGTTATGACGTCATCAACATCAACGTCATAGTTACTCAACATGTTTGTCAAGATGGATGTGACATAGAGTTCAAGTGCCATTTAATCCCTGACGAAGGGCTAAGCCCGAAAGCTTGGAAAAGAGTGACTTACAGGTTCATTAATACAATGTAATAGTTTTTTAATCTTTGTAAAAGTACAGTGGAAGAAAATCACCTTAAGATGTGTGCAACAGAAGACGGCCCGTACCAGTCACCTGGGTCTTTTCCAAGTTTTTTTCCTATTTCCACTAAGTGATGGATTGAGAATGGAGACTGTTCACAAGGATAATCACCAAACCATCGTATAATTTGTTTTCTAAATGTTTCTTCTTCTAATGATTGATCCCTGAACACATTCCAGTCTGCAAGTAAAAGGTAAACTTATTGAAGTTTTATGAATTCTCCATCATTTCAACAATCCTACTTCTGCCAGCTTTAACTCAAGGAATAATTCTGTTTTCTTTTTACCAACCAAAATTCCAGCAATCTCTCTATGGTTTTCCTACAACTTCCTTTGCCATCCTGAACTTGGGAAATCACCTGTGTCACTCCAGCTCTCGGCTAACCTGACCTCAGAAATCTACCCAATGCCCAGCTCTCAACCAACCTGACCCCAGAAATCTACCCAATGTCCAGCTCTCAGCTAACCTGACCCCAGAAATCTATCCAATGTCCAGCTCTCAAATAACCTGACCTCAGAAATCTACCTAATGTCCAGCGCTCAACCAACCTGACCTCAGAAATCTACCCAATGTCCAGCTCTCAGCCAACCTGACCCCAGGAATCTACCCAATGTCCAGCTCTCAGCCAACCTGACCCCAGAAATCTACCCATTGTCCAGCTCTCAGCCAACCTGACCCCAGAAATCTATCCAATGTCCAGCTCTCAACCAACCTGACCTCAGAAATCTACCCAATGCCCAGCTCTCAACCAACCTGACCTCAGAAATATACCTAATGTCCAGCTCTCAACCAACCTGACCTCAGAAATCTACCCAATGCCCAGCTCTCAACCATCCTGACCTCAGAAATATACCTAATGTCCAGCTCTCAACCAACCTGACCCCAGAAATCTACCTAATGTCCAGCTCTCAACCAACCTGACCCCAGAAATCTACCCAATGTCCAGCTCTCAACCATCCGGACCCCAGAAATCTACCTAATGTCCAGCTCTCATCCAACCTGACCCCAGAAATCTACCTAATGTCCAGATCTCAACCAACCTGACCCCAGAAATCTACCCAATGTCCAGCTCTCAGCTAACCCGACCTCAGAAATCTACCTAATGTCCAGCTCTCAGCCAACCTGACCCCAGAAATCTACCCAATGTCCAGCTCTCGGCCAAACTGACCCCAGAATTTTACCCAATGTCCAGCCTCTGCAATTCTAACCCTGGAAATCTCTCCTTTGTCCTACCTCTGCTAACCTGAATCCCAAAACCTTACTTTGTTCTACCTCTGCCAATCTGAACCCAAGTTATCTTTTCATATGTCCTACCTCTGTCGAGGAAGTGATTAACAAATGCTCTGGCCACCATCATCTGACCACTCCTGAGCATACAGCCCCATCCACAGTCTGATGTGAGCTTTGTGCCAGTGATGGCTGGGAAGTCTTGGCGATAGGTGAACCACAGCTGACTAGAGAAGTCCTGTTTAAACTTCTCCACTGTTGGGACCATGCAAATTTTGTCCCCTGGAGCTGGAGCATCATCTGAAATGAAGAGATCTCTCAGTCATTTTAATTCTTTACAGAAGTGACAATAAAATTTGATTATACCTGCTTTATCAATTTCTTTTTGTTTATATGCAAAAAAATACAAACATATTTACTTTAAAATGTCCTGCAACATGCCGAGGGAAGGGAAAAGAGGGGCCAACACAATTTAAGTAAGGGGTGGGCATATTAGAAGACAATGTAACCCAATTTGTTGGCATTTGCACAGAAATGCAAAAGGCTTTTTCCAGGCAGGGCGGGCTTACTGTCAGATAAATTTGGCAGTCACAATACAATTATGATACATTCAATAATTTATAAAAATATCTTCCTTCTACATCCAATTACATTGATATACTGTATTGATTTATTTAAAAATACAAATTGCAAATTAAGAAAATGTTCATATTTATGATCTACAGCACCACAAAGAAACTTCATAAGACGCAATAAAAATTCAACAAATTTTGACAAACTTTCAATCCCTAAAATATTTTAATAAGTTCTTTAGCTTACCACTTGGTCTAATATGGTAACACTTGCCAAGCAGAAATATGGGACTGTCACATTTAAAACTTGTCTTAGTCTTCAGAGTCCAGCCTAAAAAATAAAAAGTAAAATATATATGTATATTTGCTTATCTACATTTATGACATTTCATAGGTACAACTATATCTTTGGGTAAAAAAGTAATATCAACCATATAATCCCATACAACACTGAATCCTTCAAAATATACTGTACATGTATATATGTTTTAAATGTTTATATATTTGTAGGAATCAAATTACTTAAAATGGGTGTACAAGACAAGGAAGTAGACAATATATATGACTTAGCCTTTTTGTATTCAGCTGATATTGCCATTTACCCAAAATGCTATGTTCTTCAAATTGTTCTTTGTATTACTTTTGCTATACTGTGTACATGTTTGCAACTGGCAGAAGGGAGGCAACTCTCATTCCTGATTAAAAGAATAATGTTTTATGTAAAAAAAAAACCCCACTGTTTCAGTTTTGAAGCAATAGGCATTGCCATGTGTGTCAATATGTTAATTATCAGGACCCATCATATAATGTTAATTAATGGCCATTGTTCAGCACATGTCAGCTCTGACCCAATTATATTTGACCATTCTTGTCAAAGGTCCAATATTACAATCACTGCAAGATATTTCAAGATAAGATGATAACAATCATTCATTCTATTAATTGGTACGAATGTTAATGATTGTGACAAAATGACATACTGCATTCGGTATAAGAATTCATACCATATCGAACATTGTTCCAAACAGACAAGATTTTGTTTTTCATCTTTTCACTTTGGTCAATATCTTCTTCATTTTGAGAGGAATGTGATGTACTTCTGGCTGTTGGAGGATATGTGGCCATTGATGGGTACTGCAACACATTGTTGAGCCGTTCGTGGCCCATCCAGTGTTTCTGGCGGGGATGCTGGTACCGTGGATGGTGCTGGGGTTGGTATTGGTGAGGTTGCGTCTGCCACGATTGTGACATTACTTTGGGTTTACCACAGCTGGATTGTTGCTGTTGACAGCGGTCACACTGTTGTGAGCGATTTTTATACTTCTGGTGTTGTTGCTGACTGTTGGTTGTCTTTGATCTATGTCTTTGACATACACTTCTAGGCTGGTCTTCCTCCAACTCCCCAACCCATCCTTGCACTATCTTTGCTTGTCTCTGATCTTCAGTCGAGCTACCTGAACTTGAAATTGGATATTTCTTCCCAAACTCATTTTCTCGTTTAGTTTTCATACATGTACCTGTGTGCGACTCTCGTTCTATTAACCTGTCTTGAAACACGTCCGGTTCTCGTGACTCAATAGCACATGCTAACCCAGTAGATCTACCCCCTTTCATTTGATCGAGGAACTTGGAGGGACTGAGTAAAAGGGAGTCTGGCTGTTTCGCCTGATCCCTGTCACGATCGCTATGAGATCTACTGCGATGGTTTCTCCGTTTTTTACCATACTGTTTACCACAATTCGCGTCCTCCATGAATGCGTCCGCTGGGGACTTTGGTGATTCACTCTCAGGTGTTGAGATGGACTCATTCCAGGAATCAAGTGATACAATATCGTCTGATCTCTTTCTTTCCATACTGAGCGTCAGCTTAGAGACGATTCCATACTGGCAAGGCGATTACATATCTCTATATCAACTGTCAAACATGTCAACCCTCGAGGCGACAGGTCCGAACATCACAATAAACCATCCGCCATTTTGGGAGAAAAAAACCCAGTCACATGACCAGGAGAAAATGAAATATTATTTAAAGCTTTCATATTATTGATTTTTCAACAAAATATCATGCATAATATAGTTATACTAGTTTGGGGAATTAATTAACCAAATTAATCCAATGGCAGAGCCGAAAGAAAAAGTTTTAAATACGACACAAATTAAAGGCGCGTTCTATTTGAAGTCCACAATTGCGATCGGTGCGTTCGATAAGAGTCGTAGATTCGATTGAAAGGTACCGATAACATATGAGTGAATCGAAGTAAAAAAATCGGTAGCAACGACAGCTATGATATCATATAACTAGGACTTAGATATATAATCTAATTCCGTGTATATAGAGGTCAATTTAATGTAAAGGACGAACTCTTCTGAGGTTTCAGTCACGAGCGGGTTTTATAACAAATTGTTATCAATTTAAAATACGTATTAAACAACAGATACCACAACACCAGCTCAGTAACAGACATGATACACAAACTACAATGGCCATCACTACAAACACGGCGCTTTCACACAAGAATGATCCCTTTTTTTTTATAAAGTTGCACACCAAATCGTAGCTATAAACCCAACATATATACTCACACCGGGGTGCAGTCGTTTCGGTACACGGTAGTTTCGGTACTTCAAAAATAAGAGATTTCGGTACTTTTTGTAAGTAGTTTCGGTACTTCAACGATTTTTTCGTTTTTTAGTTCATAAATATTTCTCATTTGTCATTTATTGTTGGTTGTTTATTTTCGGTACTTCGTTTATTAGTTGATAAATATTATTTATTGTTGGTTGTTTATTTAACGTTTGCTTTCGTAGTTGTTAAAACAATCAAGCAGATCAGTCAATCATTGTTTTCAAACTTCAAATGAGTAGATCGGAGTAGCTCAACGTTGAGGGAATTCACCACCTTGTCATAAAAATGACGGTTATATATATGTCCCGCTATACTTAGAAGTTATTGAAATATGAATTAAACATATATGTTATTTATATGTCCCGTTAGACTTAGCTAATAATTAGGGATTTCCATTTCGGATGGAAATACCTATTGTTATTGTTATGTGTTTTAGTATTATTATTATTCTTAATTAATTATTATTAATACATTATATATATGTCCCGTTATACTTAGAAGTTATTGAATATTGAAATATGAATTAAACATGTTATATGTCCTGCTATACTTAGCTATTTATTTATTAAACATGTTAGAATATTAGAAACATGAGCAAACTGATACAAACACATGTATTATAGCACAAGTTTGACTTAGAGTTACTTCCCTTGAAGGGAGTTGCTTGAAGGTATACAGCACGCAAAATGTGGTGACGTTGACTAAAACTTGGTACCAAAGTGTGTTTTCCATAAGTACCTAAACGATTTTCAGAAGTACCGAAACAACTTTCAGAAGTACTGAAACGACTTTTAAAAGTACCGAAACGACCGGGTACATAAACGACCAGGTACCTAAACGACCTGAATTCCTCACACCCGTAGACCCTCGAACCAGACATGCACACCCTTACGCATACAAACACATATCTGCTACAAAGGACACCTACACATATTCATTGTTTCCACACATAATAACACAATGGAATCTCCTTCCCATAGAAGCAGTACAATGCACAACACTATTTATAACGGTCGAACCGGTACCACTAAACCTAGTCGGACTTAGTAATCTGATGCTGCACATTTGAAGGTCCGCCAGGATTTATACCCGAATTTATAAACGGTCCAACCGGTTGTTCAGCATAAACGAACAGACCCTAGAGGACTTCAAGGCACACACTCTCTGTCGCTAAAACATACGCCAGCTATTACCTTTTATCTTCAAGTTCAAGATATTTTATTAAGTATTTCAAGGCCAACTAGCCCATAGTACAATTTGCACAGTACATAATAACCATATTCACACAATTTTTACATCAAAAACAATTTCTGCAGAGTACCTTATAACGTACAATTTACTAATATATAGCACTGACTTCCGATTTAATAATACTAAATTTGTGATGTCACAGATATAATATAATTTGATCTTGCTTCAAAAGCTAAATATACAAATTTAGCAACATTTCTTAATTTATCTTCATTTCCAGTTATTAACATATATTTTGCTTCAACATAGTTTTCCAATGCACACATTTGTCTTATATGTTCATATAATGGACAGTGTAATAAAAAATGATATTCATCTTCAATGAGTCTTGTATTGTTTGTATATAAACAGTAATTACATAATCTTTCTTCCCTTGGAATTTTTAGTTCACGACCTTTTTCAATAAATAATTCATGACTGGATACACGCAGCCTGGTTAGAGCAATTTTATGAGACTTATTTGTAATACAATATAAGTATCGTTCGGGTTCAATTAAAGTTTTGACATCCGAGTAAAAATTCAGTTTATTAGAGTTATTTATTCCAAAATCCCATTCTTGCATACAAGTGTCTTTTACTCTTTGGGTAAACAGTCTCATAAAACTATTTACATCGCCAACTTCATGATATATCCATACATAATGAAATCCATATTTGTACAATAGATCTCTAATATTTGTAGCCCAAGTTACTCTTCCAGCATTGTGTAAATTTACTAACATATCATAGCACCTTCGTGGATATCTAGAGGAGTCCATACTTAAAATATTAAACCAATACTTTATACACTTTTTATAATAAACAACACACATGGGATGTCTCCCTAATTCACCCAGAACAGCCAAGTTTGAAGTTGATTGCTTTACTCTCAATAGTCTTTTAACAAACTTTGTTTGTACAATTTCTATGCCGGGACTGTAACAATAGCCCCATATTTCAGCACCATATGTTATTACAGGAGTTACCATATGATCAAAAAGATACAATGCCTGCGAACATCCTAAATCATAAGTATTTATGAATCTAAATAAAGTAAACAAAGCTTTCTCTGCTGAAATAACAAGTGCTTCCTTAGTTTTATTCCACTTAAGAAAACAAGTAAAGTACATACCAAGGTATTTGTACATTTGTACCACTTCTATTCTTTCTCTGTTGAAAAACCATTTTTCATTTTTCTTCAAAATTCCTCCTCGTCTAAAAACCATTACCTTAGTTTTGGTAAGATTTACCATCATACCATACATTTTACAAAAGGATTCAATAATTCCTATTTGTTTTTGTAAATTTACAACAGTATCCGCCATGTTTGCCATATCATCAGCAAATAGTAACTGCATGACATTGGGTAATTCAGCATCTACAAAAATTCCTTGGCAGTTTGCTTCATTCATTTGTTCTATAACCTCATTTAAAAATATTACAAACAGGAAGGGACTTAACATACAGCCCTGTTTCGTTCCGACATTACACTCAAAATATTGAGACAATCCATCTGTTGTGTTAATACACGACTTCATATTTGAATACATAGATTTCAATATCTTAATCACTTTATGACTAACATTGTTTTTTATTAAGGTATATAGTAGAAGTGGGTGCTGTACACAGTCAAAAGCTTTGGAGAAATCAACAAAAATACAATACATCCTACCTTTCTTTTTACTGAGATATTTCTGCACCAAAGCTTGTAAAGAAAAACAGTGATCCATGGTTGAATATCCAGTTCTATAACCAGCCTGTTCCTCGTGAAATTTTTGTTCTATTTCTGCCCAGAAAATTAAACGATTATTTAAAATTTTTGTAAATATTTTCCCCATAACATTTAAGAGCGAAATACCTCTGTAATTGTCTGGTAAATTTACATCACCCTTTTTGTGAATAGGATGTATAATTGCCTTACACCAGTCAATAGGGAAAACCCCACACTCCAATATTTTGTTAAACAAACCACAGAGACACTTAAGTACATCATCAGTTCCATATTTAAAAAGTTCAATCACTAAACCATCTTCACCAGGAGCTTTATTTAATTTGAATTGGTGAATGGCTCTCTTTATTTCTTCTAGTTCTATGTCAGTATCTAGTAATTCGTTGTAAGTATGAGTTTCTGCACTGAAATGTTCATCTAATGTGTCATGTACATTTTGCATAAAAGTTTCTTCCACAGTAAATTTTGCTGAATTTAATAAGTTTTTAAAGTAATTAAACCACTGTCCTCCTGTTATTGAGTTATTATTATTTGTACTCTTAAAGCTTTTTAGCTTTTTCCACATATCATTTGGGTCCTTTAGAGAAAGCACTTCCTCCGCTTGGTTATTTTTGACCCGTGTCTGTTTTACTTTGCACACTCCCTTGAATCTTTTCTTCGCACTTTGGTACCGTCGTAGATCATCATCCAAGTTGGACCTCCTAAATACATTTAATAGTTCATATTTCTCTTTTTTCAAATATTCACACTCATTTTCCCACCATTTCGGTTGAGTATTAAGTCTGTAAGTTTTTCTCTGCATACATTTGGCAGCATGAGATACAATTTCACATAATGTTGTCGTTGCACTATTTATATTATTACGTAGGTTCTCCCAAAATTTGGAAAAGAATTCCTTAGAAAGCTCACTTTCTAGATTTATAACAAATTTATCCTTACATGCCTCATTCCATTTAAAACGCTTTCTTTCCGTAAATGAATGATCAATATGTTGTGCATCAATTAAAGAGCTACCTACACTCCACACTAACGGAAAGTGGTCTGATATGTCCCACGTTTCCACTATCATATTTGAAATATTTTCAAAAATATATGATGAAACAATTACATAGTCAATTACACTTTTCCCAAGATGGGATATAAATGTATACTCTCCAGAGTTATCTCCCATTGTACGTCCATTTAAAATATGAGTATCTAACTTATTACATAACTCAATAAGCGATTTACCATAAGTATTTGTGTTTAAATCCTTAGATAATCTTATCTTGCTAAATGGAATATCTTCTACATTTTCTCCCAAAGGGAGATATTTCTCACTTTCTCCAAAATCTTGCATTTCACCAGTTCTTGCATTAAAATCACCACACAATATAATCTGTACATCATCTTCTATATTATCTAGTATATCAATTATTTCTTCTTCAAGGATTGCTATACCATTTTGTTCTTTTTCTGTATAAAAACTTGAACCACTTGGAGGTATATATACTGAACATACCAGTACATCTTTTTCAAATCCAAACATTTCCTTGTCAAAAAGTATACTTACACACATCTTATATTTATCATGAACAGACTTAATAAATTTGTCCATGGATTTTTTAATAAATACGCTTATACCATGTGGAGTAGCTCCATACTTGGATTTCTTTTCACCATAGTTACAAAAAATATTAAATTGAGCAAAAATACCCTCACAATCTTCCTTGCAATTTGCCCATGTTTCACATAAGGAGATATAATCAAAGTTCATCAACTTATTTACAATATCAGTTCTGATTCTCAAATTGTTCAATCCACTAATGTTCCAAGAACAAAATTTTAGTTCTTTGTGGTGCCGCGTAGTTATACTTTGGCTACGGCCATCCCGTCATCCTCCAAAACTTGAGTTCCCGTCATTTTGTCTGTATTTTTATCTATACCCCTCTGTATTCTGTGACATAAGTAAAGCATTCGATAGAGTGTGGCATGAAGGGTTATTATACAAACTAGAATCCTATGGTATTAAAGGAAACTTGCTAAGTTGGTTTAAAAAATACTTGTCAGATAGAAAACAACGTGTTTTAACCGAGGGCATTTTCTCAACTTATAAATCTGTAAACGCTGGAGTTCCACAGGGATCTGTTTTAGGTCCCTTTTTATTTCTTTTATATATTAATGATATAGCCGATATTGTAACTAGTGACATAAAATTGTTTGCTGATGATACATCCTTAAGTGAAATAATTGAAAATAACAATATTGAAATAGCTAATTTAAATTTCAGAAAATCTTTCAAATATTAGTACTTGGGGTAAAAAGTGGGATATTAATTTCAACCCTTCAAAACTGTATCAATGATATTTACTAGGAAAAGAGACACGATACATCCAGATAAGTTTTTTTTAACAATAGCCCAGTTCAATCCCTTGCTACTCACAAACATCTAGGTGCTATTTTATCTGAAGATGGTAAATGGATTCACCATGTAAATTATATATATGAAAAAGCGTTTAAAAGGGTAAATATATTAAAATCACTTAAAAAACGAGTCTCAAGGAAAACTCTTTTAAAGATATCTAAAACATATATTTTGCCTATATTGGATTATGCAGACGTCTTGTGGGACAATTGCACGGAACAATCTAAACAACTGCTTGAATCTGTTCATTTAGAAGCTGCTGGAGTCATAACAGGATTGCGCAGAGGTAACTCTCATCATAAATTATATAAAGAACTTGTCTGATAATCTCTCTCAGATAGACGACAAAAACATAAATTAATATTAATGTTTAAGATACTTCATGGCATGGCCCTGCAACATCTGAAAGATATAGTGCAACCGTTTATATATCACAATGAAAATGAAAGATATCCATTAAGGACGACTAGATATTTCAACACTCCAATATGTAGAACAGTAAGCTATCATAGTAGCTATTTTCCAAGTACATTTAGGGAATTCAACTCATTCACTCTTAATTTTGATTTATACAATGTAAACTCTCTATCACAATTTAAAGCTCTACTCTTCAAAAATAATGAAACTGTCTCGGCTACAACAAAAACGTTTGCAAATGATGGCAGTCGAAATATAAATATAATTATGTGTCAACTTAGAAATGAAGCCAGCAATTTGAACTCTGAACTTTTTCTTGACCATTTAAAAGATTCTCCAATATGCACATGCAACCTTGGTGAGGAAACTGCGGAACATTATTTATTTATCTGTCTTCTATTCAACCATTCTCAATTGACACTTAGAAATAAGCTGATTAACCAAATATAACCCATGACCATTTTAATATAAACACATAACTTCATGGATGTCATGAATGTGATGAAGAAACCAATGCATTTGTACTACAATGTATATCAGAGTACATTATCAACACTATAAGATTTGTTTAATCATAACTATACCTTGTACGGTGGGGACATTGAGACACACTATATGAATTGTTTATATGTTTGTTTGATGATTTCAATGACTGTACATATAACATACCGAAGTTGTAAGGAGAAGGCTTATATATCCCTTTGCATATTTTTTGCAACAAAATTTGTTGAAATGAAATTCCCTGCACAAAAAACCTCCACAAAAAAAACTAATCACTGTAAATAACCCCTGTGATAGGACCCCCCAGGGCATAATCATCAACCCATCGATAGAGCCCCTGCGCCCTAAAGAATAAGAGAAGAAAAGTTCTCATGCATCTGAAAAGTGTATCAAAACACTAAATGCCCATTGTTTGCAGATTTTTTTACAGGTTTAAATAAACCATTCGGTCACGAGCCCGGCGTCCTACCTCCATAAACTGCAAATCTGGAATGGTGACACCTCCCTGAAAAGGTCTGGATCCGCCCCTGATATGTTATCGATTTGCGTTCATACACATTTACCATGATATTTTAATATTAGCCATTTGGTTATTGAGAAGGTGTTGTTCGGATATTTTAACATGTTGACCCATTTGACCTTGAAACGGGTTAATGCCATTCTTCCCCTAGCCCTATATCCAAGCATACCGCTGGCCAAATAGCATCACCCCGGCCTTTTAGTTAGCAAGAAGAAGCATTTTAATATTTCAACACATACAACTCGTTTGAAAAGATCAGAGCCTATATAATATATACGTCTCTGAACAGGCTTCATAGCCTTTCACCCTTGCATACTATGACCGAATATTTACCATCGTATGTCATTGCTACTATATATAGCCCTGCCAAATTCAGTTGTCACTCATATAGACTATGCTAATGGTGTGGCTCTACACTTCTGAGCTATATAGGCCCACACAATCACTATTTCTAACGGAATGCTGATATTTGGCATAGCGTTTCCAGAGGGGTCAAATATTGTTGTATAACAGTAAAACCAGGGGAGAGCCAACATCTCTTTTTTGTTTTAATAGGCTGTTAGTTTTGGTTCTGTATAATACATATCCATTTTTAAATGCATTACAACAATATGTTACAAATATTAATGAAAATGTCGAAAATAAGCTGAAATCCTTCTATAACAATTTAGATATATCTTTAATTAAAGTTACATGCATTTTTTTTAAATGTGAATTTAGAAATATCCATGTACAAATGTAATTATACAATTGCCGTATTATGGAAAACTCCATTATATCACGGACTTAGATAACTAATCTAATTCCGTGATTATACTTTTGATCTTGAACAGTTGATTCCAGAATTTATTTATAAAATTTAGTTTTGACGATCCAATTCATAACCAGAGATCAGATACATAACGTGAATCCAAACTTAAGTATTTGAGAGAAAAAAAATGTGAATTAGGACTATCTAAGTTTGCAATTTAACGCATTAAGATGCCGATTCCCTTATAAAAAACCGGTAATAAAATTTAATAAGTAAGTCTTCAATATATTTCAAGTATTCGGATTTATGGAACCGTTATCGGCTACTAATATTGAAAATGATCGGGAAGACGTCAAATCTGTGTCTGTTGTGCTAACTTCTACTGCTACAAACGTTTTAAAGACGTACCAAAGTCAACAATGGCCGAAAGCGGTAAGCGTGATATCGACGAAGTGGAAGAAGATGACGATGAATGGGTCGGTCCCATGCCGGAAGAGGCAATCAAGACAAAAAAGAGAAAGGGTAAAACCAGTTGATATTCTGTATTGATGCGTACAATAGATTGATGGAGGAAATAAATAAATCAGACAAAAATCGTTGGGTTTATTGATGTCGTGATGGATCAGTTTGGTCCTCCGTTTAAGCACAGGGGTTCGTTATAAATGTCAATTGGTTTAATTTTGTTTAATGTCCTATTAACAGCTAAGGTCATTTAAGGACGTGCCTCCATGTGGGTAGTGTATGCGTGCTTTTGTGTGTGTATGCAGGAGACAGGGTAAGTTGGAGTGCTTGCCTGCGATACTGATATGGGTCACAGCACACACACAAGTGTAACGAACCCCTGTGGTTTTAGTACACAATTATTGAAACTGATGTGGTTCAAATCCACGGAAAGTCATAATGTCACCTTTTATTCATTGTCTGTTCCATGTAATTTGATGTCATGGGCAGTGTCTGCCTCAGATTAATGCTTGTTCAGAAGCATTTTTTTGGTCACAAGTAAAAAATAATAAGCCCCTGTGAGTATGATATCCAAAATTCAACAATGCAAATAAACTTTGTCGCAAGCATGTTAGAAATAAACACCAGCTCCCAATGGTTGCCCTATTAGCATTAGACATTGAAACATTGATAAAACAATGAACATTTATCAATTAAAATAGAATAAGATGAAAAAGACCAGTTCAACAATACTGTATAGAGGAAGCACAGTGGTTTTAAAATTGACAATTTGAATTTTTTGTATCAAGAAAAAGTTCAATCACAGCAGATGTGTTTTATATTCAGATATATACATGCAGAATGACAATCCATTGAATTGTTTTTTTTCTCTTTCAGTGCTTGAGTTTGAAAAAATATACCTAGAAAACATGCCAAATGCTGAGTCCTACGAGAAAAGTTTCATGCACAGAGATGTTGTTACTCATGTGGCAGTATCAAAGTATGTGTGTATACCATGTGTTTGTTAAAAGTGTATGTGTATCTGTCATCTTTTTGGTTCAGCAGTTTATATTTTAGTTTCTGGTTTTACATGCAGATTGCATGGGTTTGATTCTCCTGTATGAGTGTGACATTTTCAGAGGTGTTATTGTCACCTTGCCACCATCTGTTCAAGGCTTACCCTAAAAAGGACTCAAATGCCATAGGTCCTATAAATCAATTAATAACAATGACATCTTTGTAGTAATCAAAATAATAGTAGTATAAATCTGCCTCAGATTAATGCTTGTTCAGAAGCAAAGTTACAAATATTCAAACAGATTTAGCAAAAATGAACATAATAAGGAACTTAGACTTGTAGTATGATAAAGCCAATATGTAATTTGAATAATCATTACCACACGTGTTGATTTACAGAACTGGGTTTATCATTACTGCTAGCTGTGATGGACATGTTAAATTCTGGACCAAAAATGAAGATGCAGGCATTGAGTTTGTCAAGCATTTCAGGAGCCATTTAGGTGAGAGGGCTGTTTTGTATGCTGTGACTTAAAGTGACTACTGTTGCAAGTGACTTAAGAGTGACAACTGTTGTACTGTTGCTAGTGACTTTAGTGTGACAACTGTTGTACTGTAGCCCATTACTTAGAGTGACAACTGTTGTACTGTAGTCCATTACTTAGAGTGACACCTATTGTACTGTAGCCTCTGACATTAGAGACAACTGTTGTACTGAAGCCTGTGACTGAGAGTGACAACTGTTGTACTGTAGCCTGTGACTTAGAGTGACAGCTGTTGTACTGTAGCCTGTGACTTAAAGTGACAACTGTTGCACTGTAGTCCATTACTTAGAGTGACAACTGTTGTACTGTAGCCTGTGACTTAAGAGTGACAACTGTGGTACTGTAGCCTGTGACTTAAAGTGACAACTGTTGTACTGTAGACTTAGAGTGACAACTGTTGTACTATAGCCTGTGACTTAGAGTGACATCTGTTGTACTGTAGCTTGTGACTTGGAGTGATAACTGTTGTACTGTAGGCTGTGACTTAAGAGTTGTACTGAAGCCTGTGACTTAAAAGGGACAACGGTTGTACTGTAGCCTGTGACTTAAAGTGACAACTGTTTTACTGTAGTCCATTACTTGAGGGACAACTGTTGGATTGAAGCCTGTGACTGAGAATGACACCTGTTGTACTGTAGCCTGTGACTGAGAGTGACAACTGTTGTACGGTAGCCTGTGACTTAGAGTGACAACTGTTGTACTGTAGTCCATTACTTGAGTGACAACTGTTGTACTGAAGCCTGTGACTGAGAATGACAGCTGTTGTACTGTAGCTTGTGACTTGGAGTGATAACTGTTGTACTGTAGCCTGTGACTGAGAGTGACAGCTGTTGTACTGTAGGCCGTTACTTAGAGTGACAACTGTTGTACTATAGCGTGTGACTTAGAGTGACAACTGTTGTACTGAAGCCTGTGACTGAGAGTGACAGCTGTTGTACTGTAGTCCATTACTTAGAGTGACAACTGTTGTACTATAGCCTGTGACTTAGAGTGACAACTGTTGTACTGAAGCCTGTGACTGAGAGTACCAGCTGTTGTACTGAAGCCTGTGACTTGGAGTGACAGCTGTTGTACTGTAGCCTGTGACTTAGAGTGATAACTGTTGAACTGAAGCCTGTGACTGAGAGTGACAGCTGTTGTACTGTAGCCTGTGACTTAGAGTGACAACTGTTGTACTGTAGGCTGTAACTTAGAGTGACAACTGTTGTACTATAGGCTGTGACTGAGAGTGATAACTGTTGTACTGTAGCTTGTGACTTGGAGTGATAACTGTTGTACTGTAGGCTGTGACTTAAGAGTGACAACTGATGTACTGTAGCTTGTGACATGGAGTGACAGCTGTTGTACTGTAGCCTGTGACTGAGAGTGACAGCTGTTGTACTGTAGCTTGTGACTTGGAGTGATAACTGTTGTACTGTAGGCTGTGACTTCAGAGTGACAACTGTTGTACTGTAGCCTGTGACTGAGAGTGACAGCTGTTGTACTGTAGCTTGTGACTTGGAGTGACAACTGTTGTACTGTAGCCTGTGACTTAGAGTGACAACTGTTGTACTGTAGGCTGTGACTGAGAGTGATAACTGCTGTACTGTAGGCTGTGACTTAAGAGTGACAACTGTTGTACTGTAGTCTGTGACATAAGAGTGACAACTGTTGTACTGTAGCCTGTGACTTGGAATGATAACTGTTGTACTGTAGCTTGTGACTTGGAGTGACAACTGTTGTACTGTAGCTTGTGACTTGGAGTGACAACTGTTTTACTGTAGCCTGTGACTGAGAGTGACAGCTTTTGTACTGTAGCTTGTGACTTGGAGTGACAACTGTTTTACTGTAGCCTGTGACTGAGAGTGACAGCTTTTGTACTGTAGCTTGTGACTTGGAGTGACAACTGTTGTACTGTAGCTTGTGACTTAAGAGTGATAACGGTTGTACTGTAGCCTGTGACTGAGAGTGACAGCTTTTGTACTGTAGGCTGTGACTTAGAGTGACAACTGTTGTACTGTAGTCCATTACTTGAGTGACAACTGTTGTACTGAAGCCTGTGACTGAGAGTACCAGCTGTTGTACTGAAGCCTGTGACTTGGAGTGACAGCTGTTGTACTGTAGCTTGGGACTTGGAGTGATAACTGTTGTACTGTAGATTGGGACTTGGAGTGACAACTGTTGTTCTGTAGCCTGTGACTGAGAGTGACAGCTTTTGTACTGTAGCTTGTGACTTGGAGTGACAACTGTTGTACGTGACAACTGTTGTACTGTAGTCTGTGACATAAGAGTGACAACTGTTTTACTGTAGCCTGTGACTGAGAGTGACAGCTTTTGTACTGTAGCTTGTGACTTGGAGTGGTAACTGTTGTACTGTAGCTTGTGACTTTGAGTGATAACTGTTTTACTGTAGGCTGTGACTTAAGAGTGACTGTTGCAAGTGGCTTAAGAGTGACAACTGTTGTACTGTTGCTAGGGACTTTAGTGTGACAACTGTTGTACTGTAGCCCATTACTTAGAGTGACAACTGTTGTACTGTAGACTTAGAGTGACAACTGTTGTACTGTAGTCCATTACTTGAGTGACAACTGGTGTACTGAAGCCTGTGACTGAGAATGACAGCTGTTGTACTGTAGTCCATTACTCAGAGTGACAACTGTTGTACTATAGCCTGTGACTTAGAGTGATAAGTGTTGTACTGAAGCCTGTGACTGAGAGTACCAGCTGTTGTACTGAAGCCTGTGACTTGGAGTGACAGCTGTTGTACTGTAGCTTGGGACTTGGAGTGATAACTGTTGTACTGTAGCCTGTGACTGCGAGTGGCAGCTGTTGTACTGTAGCTTGTGACTTGGAGGGATAACTGTTGTACTGTAGCCTGTGACTTAGGGTGACAACTGTTGTACTGTAGCCTGTGATTTAGAGTGACAACTGTTGTACTGTAGGCTGTGACTGAGAGTGATAACTGCTGTACTGTAGGCTGTGACTTAAGAGTGAAAACTGTTGTACTGTAGTCTGTGACATAAGAGTGACAACTGTTTTACTGTAGCCTGTGACTGAGAGTGACAGCTTTTGTACTGTAGCTTGTGACTTGGAGTGACAACTGTTTTACTGTAGCCTGTGACTGAGAGTGACAGCTTTTGTACTGTAGCTTGTGACTTGGAGTGACAGCTGTTCTACTGTAGCTTGTGACTTGGAGTGATAAACTGAGAGTGACAGCTGTTGTACTGTAGGCTGTGACTTAGAGTGAAAACTGCTGTACTGTAGGCTGTGACTGAGAGTGATAACTGCTGTACTGTAGGCTGTGACTTAAGAGAGACAACTGTTGTACTGTAGCCTGTGACTTGTAGTGATAACTGTTGTACTGTAGCCTGTGACTGCGAGTGGCAGCTGTTGTACTGTAGCTTGTGACTTGGAGTGATAAACTGAGAGTGACAGCTGTTGTACTGTAGTCCATTCCTTAGAGTGACAACTGTTGTACTATAGCTTGTGACTTAGAGTGATAACTGTTGTACTGAAGCCTGTGACTGAGAGTGACAACTGTTGTACTGTAGCTTGTGACTTAAGAGTGATAACTGTTGTACTGTAGCCTGTGACTGAGAGTGGCAGCTGTTGTACTGTAGCTTGTGACTTGGAGTGATAACTGTTGTACTGTAGCCTATGACTTAAGAGTGACAACTGTTGTACTGTAGCCTGTGACTTAGAGTGACAACTGTTGTACTGTAGCCTGTGTACTTCAGAAACAAATGCTGCACAGTGTCCTGTCCTGTGTACATCACTTATATCATACATGTATGTCATGTATTACAGGGACAATTGAGGACATGTCTGTGAGCAGCCCTGGAGATCTCTGCTGTACAATATCTGATGATAAATCTGCGAAAGTGTTTGACGTGGTAAATTTTGGTAAGTTGCATAGACGTATTTTATCAAGTGTATGTAAAATCTGTAGTATGAAATAAATGGTGAAAATCATTTATCGGTTACAAATGGTGAAAATCATTTATCGGTTACAAATGGTGAAAATCAAAAATCAATTTATTTTAAATCAGTGTTTTTATGTTATATTACAAATACACTTTTTATACTGAATTTCAATGGATCTATTAAAAATAGAATTCAGAAATTCAGAAGACAATTTGGATGATAACCTCATATTAAACCTACGACACAGTCAAGTACTGATTCTATAGAGCTGATTACTGACAAATTTCAGGTACTTGGTATACTGAATTTGTCAGATGCCACATGGATAATTGTATTTGGAATAATATCAATAGTTCTCTATCAGTTGAGAACACATTTTTTTCTTCAAATTCTTTTGTGGTCAATGTGTACAACTGAACTTGACATGATGCTGTTTGTTCCGTAGATATGATTAACATGGTGAAGCTGGACTATGCCCCACATACCTGTGGCTGGATCTATGCCTCTGGGGATCCGGTCTCCGCCCTTGCTGTGTAAGTAGAAAGGTGTTGAATTCTATATATTATACCAGATTTTAAATGGTTTATTTTACATCACTTGTTTTGTCTGTTTTTGTATACTACAGTAATAATGAATATCTTTAATTCACAATTGCCACTTGCATACACTGAACTTGTAATTTTTCAGTGATGTTTGAACAAACCTTATCATCAAATTTGATAATGTTTGTCATCATCGTTTTGTATTTCTACACAATGGTTGTGTATAACTATTTTGTCATCATTGTTTGTGTACTTTATTATCAATGACAGTGTATTTGTTGTCATCATTGTCTGTGTATTATCAATGACAGTGTATTTGTTGTCATCATTCTGTGTACTAATCGTTTGTGTAGTAGATAAAAGTGACTTCCCTGTTACAGGTCAGAGAAGGAAACAGGTACCATACACATATATGATGGCCGGGGAACAAACACTCCACTGCACATTCTCTCGAGCATGCATTCATCGCCTGTGATGTTGATCAGGGTAAGACACAAGTTGTAAAACAAGGGAGATAATCTGTAAGTAATGAATGCTGTTAATCATATCAATAACATGGGAAGGTTGTGCTCGAATAATAACACCAGGTATTCACTATTGAGTTAATTCTTCAAGAAACTCAGATATCCAATGTCAAAATGCATAAAAATAAATCAAATTAAAAGTTCACAAAACATTTGAATTTATTGTTCATTGCAAGCTAACACTTGAAATTGTATTAGACAAACTATTAGCAATTAATGATACATTATTTTTAGAATTTGAATCATACATTTGTCATATAATAAGTTTAGTTACTATATGAAAAAAATTGATATGAGGATATAATTTGGCATCAAATCAAAGGACTTGGGGCATTAAGGGTTATTGCCGGCCTCACCGAGGTTTAAAAGTTAGTTGTAACATTTGTAATCTGGAATAAATGAAGTACGCAAATATATAAAAGACCATATTTTGGCTATTTCTGCATAGCAATGCAATTTTGTTGCTATTGTAGGGCATCTACGCATGCGAATTGGAAAAGATCTACAACAAGAAAGATAGCCCCAATTAACCAATATAATGTTATAACAAAAATTGTTAAATAAATTCAAGTTGAAATCTTTACTTTTGATGAGGCCAAAAATGACCCACAATGCCCCAAGTCCTTTGAATAATACATTTAATGATATGTTGCCATTTAATTGAAAAATAATATTGGAAGAGTTTCATTGGTTTGCTACAGTATAACCCTGTGTATGAGGTGGCAGTGTCTGCTGACAAGGACGGTATGCTGGAGTACTGGGCCGGTCCTAAATACGACTTCAAGTTCCCAAAGAATGTACAATGGAAGTACAAGACTGATACAGATCTTTATATATTTGCTCAGGTAACTAATGGCACAGATCTTTATGCATTCGCTCAGGTAACTTATGGAAAAGATTTTTATGCATTCGCTCAGGTAACTTATGGCACAGATCTTTATGCATTTGCTCAGGTAACTAATGGCACAGGTCTTTATGCATTCGCTCAGGTAACTTATGGCACAGATCTTTATGCATTTGCTCAGGTAACTAATGGCACATATCTTTATGCATTCACTCAGGTAACTAATGGCACAGATCTTTATGCATTCGCTCGGGTAACTTATGGCACAGATCTTTATGCATTCACTCGGGTAACTAATGGCACAGATCTTTATGCATTCGTTCAGGTAACTAATAGCACAGATCTTTATGCATTCGCTCAGGTAACTAATAGCACAGATCTTTATGCGTTCGCTCAGGTAACTAATGGCACAGATCTTTATGCATTCACACAGGTAACTAATGGCACAGATCTTAATGCATTCACACAGGTAACTTATGGCACAGATCTTTATGCATTCACACAGGTAACTAATGGCACAGATCTTTATGCATTCACACATGTAACTAATGGCACAGATCTTAATGCATTCACACAGGTAACTAATGGCACAGATCATTATGCATTCACACAGGTAACTAATGGCACAGATCGTTACATCACACAGGTAACTAATGGCACAGATCGTTATGCATTCACACAGGTAACTAATGGCACAGATCGTTACATCACTGACTAATTATCTAAAGACATAGGTAGTGACTATGGATGGTTGTCAAATAATTCTGAATTACATCAGATCAGGCAAATAAAACAATTCGGAGGGCTAATCAATTGTTTGAGATTAGAAAACTTTTCAACACATATCAAAAGGTCAATGGGTATGTCAGCATATGAGGGCTCACTCTGGACCTAAAAAAGTGTGATTCTCGGCCTCCAACAGCCCTATAGATGCCCTCTATTAAAATTATTCTATATTTAATAGTTATTTTGAGATGTAATAATATTCAACGTGATGGTGAAGGAGTACTCTGTAGTGTTATTTAACAATTTATTTGTAACTTCTTCCATAATGTGATAACCTTTTATGATACTTTCAGATGATAAGCTGTAATTTAGAAGAAAAAATATTTGAATCAAAATGCTAAAACCTTGCACAAGAACTTTTAAATAATTCTTTTCAAAAGAGAGAAAATCAGACTTGATCTCATTTCTTGACACAGAAGTCTTGAAAAAAATGTCGGTTGAAGACTTTTAATTTTAAAATATTTTGTTCACCATTAATTACAATAATTTTGTGCCTTAAATCTAAAAATTTAACAGAAATAAAAATACAAATCAAAAGTAGCCTCAATGATGCAATATATGTATAATCATTTTCATTGAGTTTCTTCAATTTGCACCTAATATAAGAGTTTGTCAAAGACATTCTTCACAGTTTACTGTTCTGAAAGCAGCATAATTGAATGCTAAATAACATTTCTCGATCACTTTAAATTCTAAATTGTCAAATCCACAAAAGCGCTCAAGTACATTGTCTCGTTTGAAGTGATCTTACACAGTTCAAAGGCCGAAAATGGGCACTTACTGGGCCGACAACTGTACATGTGTAAGACCCCATGTGTTACTCGCCTATCAGACTGTTTTCTCACAGGTCATTCAATTTTCTTGGCCCCACTGTCCACTACAGTAACACAAATTATAATATCTCTTGCCATCTGAAGGTTGCTTAATGTCTTGAAAACTTGAACAAAAGCAGTGGCTTACAGTTGTACAGAGTTGTGCAGCTGAATTCTGACATCCCTGATTATGTATACACAATCAGTGTCAGTCACAATACACATGTGAGAAGGGTTTTTCTTAGTTTTTGTCTCGCCGTTTTGTCTCGCCGCACAGGGTCTCTGAGGCGAGACAAAGGTATTGCCTTTCCGGCGATGTCAACATTAAATTTTTGCATTTAAGTTAGTTTCACTGAAAGTATAAGTGCTAGACCAAACAAACTCGGACCATAGATGCATCTTAGGTAGTACACCTCAACTCATGCTTCAAATGCTGGATGCTGCCTACCTTTCATGGTCCATTGACTTTGTCAGTATCTCCATCAACATTAAGTTTTTGCATTTAAGTTAGTTTCTCTGAAACTATGAGTGCTAGACCAACCAAACTTGGACCATAGATGCGTCTTCGGTAGTACATCTCAACCCATGCATCAAATGCTGGATGCAGCCTACCTTTCATGATCCATTGACTTTGTCAGCATCTCCATCAACATTAAGTTTTTGCGTTTAAGATAGTTTCTCTGAAACTAGAAGTGCTACACCAACCAAACTTTACATGTGCATTGATGGTCCAATTGGGGCACAGTTGAGATATATCAGTCTGAATGGCTTGTTTATAACCTAGTAGCCACATCATACTTTTAGTAATCAATTGGAAATATAAATACACTAACTATATACCGACAGCATTAGCCCTGATATAACTTTAATTTAAGATCTTTAAGGCTTTGTGAATTGCAGAATGATCAAATTTATGATCTTTCATTTTATTGCATAAAAATATCATTTTTTTTTATCTGAGTAAATTATTAAATGCATTATCATTCAAGCAATAGTCTGTCACATTTTACTCTAATAAAATAAAGTTTTATACCAGATGGTTCTATTACATTATTTTTGTTTCAGAACAAGACTATTCCTAGTGATGTCAGTTTTTCTCCAGATGGCAAACTGATGGCCTCTATAGCAAAGGATCGAAAGGTGGGTTGAAATGCCTATCAGTCAACTGTAAACAGATACAAAATATCACAGTACCTTCAATCCTTTTGCATCTGTTTAGTTGTGTACATGTTCATGAATTAAATATGAGGTGGTATTATTTGAAGAATTACTAGTACAATCATGCAAAGTTTTATGTTATATTTAGAAACTACAATTTAATGTTTAAGTCTTACTTATACCTGACAACCCCCTTCACCAACAATAAAGCTGATACATGTGATAAGTGATGGTAGCGTTGGGTGGGGGAGGGGGTAAATGGAATTGAGATGTCTGACTTTCTCTCTATCTGGAATCAAGACCAAACTTGTTCAGATGGTTGACCTTGACCCACTTTAAAGGTCAATGGGGTGAAATGTTTCTGAATAAACAAAATCCCAGGTTGATATATATCTGACCAGTAGCATGCTAGGATGAAGGGCTACAAACTACGTTCAAAGGATTGACCTTGACCCTTTTTCAATGTCACTGGGGTCAAATGTTTTAAAACTCTTCGAACAACTTCTTCTTGAAAAACAAAAGGCACATGGTGCTGATATCTGGCCAGAAGTATGTTGGGGTGAAAGGCTACAAAGTTTGTTAAAATGAATAACCTTGATCAAGATTCATGGTTATCAGCGTCAATTGTTTTAAAATCTTTAAACAACTTCTTCTCAATTATCAAAAGGTCAAGGGTGATTGTATATGCCCAAAAGAAGACTAGGATGAAGGGCTACAAAGTTTTTCCAAATAACTGACCTTGCCTTTATATGGCTATACTCCCAGTGCTGAATTGTTTGATTTTTTTTTTATATATTGTATTTTTTTAAATGGCTTTAAATATAAACTAGAAGTGTATACGCATCCAGTAAATGTCTTTAGAGCCATCTAAAACGTATTGTTAGGTGTTTTTACAGGTTGAAGATGGATGTATGAAACAAGATGGCTGCCATAATGACTATCAGACATGTGCTAATGCTACATTCATTATCCAGCATTGGGTTTAAACAAACATCAATTTATAAGTAGCTGAAATTAATTTTAGCCATAATATCGCAACTATGAACAAGTCTACTCATGTTTTTTTTAAATAAATGGAAAAATATGTGTTTTATCACAAGTTTATGACAAGGGAGGGGTGTCAAAGATTTAGGATAAAAAAGGAGTAAGGGATTTTGTAGATTGTACCTTTTTACAAACAACAACAAATAAACTGCAAACAATCAAGGAAGGCCAACGAAACACAACTGCAAAGTATTTGTGCTTACCTTCGGACTGATTATTCTGTTAATACAGTATGTACCATCATTGAATCCGATTCAAATATAAAAACGTGCATCAAAAATGTCAATGTTCCCATTTTATAAATCCTATACTGTTAATACCTATGTCTGACCAATCCTATTCTGTCTTGTTATATATCATGTCGTGTCTAATCACAATTCAGTGTCATTGCTCTAGTGACTTCATTTTTTTTTTTATCAAATTTTATGCAAGATTACTTTGCTCAACATATATCCATCAATTATTATCCAATACAAAGGTCTAGTGTAAGAATAGCTTAGATGAGTTTGTATTTCAGGATTTCAAGGTCAAGGCAACTATCCTATATATGGTTATCATGCAACATAACTTTTCGGGTCAGTAATGGGTGGTGGTTGTTAGTGTTTGGTAGATGGTGTGTTAATGCAATAGAATTACTTAGTAACATCATTAAGAAGGGGTGAAAATTGGTTGCATAAAACTGATTGTCACATAAGTAGATATGACTGTACAATTTAAATAATCAAATTGAATTCTTTCCTCTTAAGTCTTTGATTGTGCTTGATTTTCTAGGTCAGAATCTTCAAATTTCTAACAGGAAAATTATCCAAAGTTTTGGATGAATCTCTCAAGCAGTTTACAGAACTACAACAGGTAAGTATCCTTTATAGTGAAGTACAGATTGTATAAACTCAAAAGAGACCAAAGAAAAACAGAAATTATTCCTCAATTCTCATTAAAACTGAGAACATTAAGACCCTGCTGATCAACTCCAGGCCAGCAACTAAACAGGGGAGGTGTCAGTTTAGTGTACCGGTAAGTGTGTTTATCAACTGAATGGCTAACACTGTCCATCACTTTGGAATCTTGGGAATTTTATTTAAATTCTCAATTTCTGGAACCCTGGGCCATCCCTTCTCCCTTGGGGCGGGGGTAAAGTTTACTGCAGTTTATATTGGGAAATAAAACTTTTGGGTATGTTTTGACAATTTTCTGTAGGAAATTATTCTGACTTGGTAAGAAACATCCTTGAAGGAAGATGGTTTTCAAATTGTAAAGTTGAGATTCCTCTTTTTATTGCATCCAGTTAGCTAGTTTGCTTATGTTCAGAGATAAAAATAATGAAGGGGGCTTAATTGCAGGCACCCACCCTGTTCTGAGGACATAAGCGAAAGTGGGGAGTGGGCTTATTTGCAAGTGGGATTTATTTGAGGTCAAATACTGTAGCTCACACGTTGCAAAACCCAGTGGAGGGAGCTTTTCTACACTGAGATCCTTTGAGGTTTGCAAACCCTGTCAGCTTAAGATTTTATTTTATTTTCAGATGAAGCAGCAGTTGCCTAACATGGAATTTGGACGTCGTCTGGCAGTAGAGCGAGAATATGAGAAAACAGAATCCTGTCACAGGTGTAGCATAAGTAAGTCATCTATCTCAAACAAATTCATAACTGACTGATTTAGGGAATATTTCAGTCCTAGCCTCACATAGTCTTCATTGGCTCTTGGTTAGAGTATCAGCCCTATGTCTGAAGGATTTGTGTAGTCAATCCATAACCTGTTTTGGGAATGAAATTCATCAGTTTGGTATGAATAATAAAAGCAAAGATTTTTTTTACCACAAACAGGAATTGAAAACTTTTTTGCGAGCTTTCGAAAAATGTGTGTTTCCTTTGACAAGCAAAGAGTGTAAATGACTGGGATGAAGGGCTTATAGATAATTAATTTTGCACATGGGGCCTCTTGTTACCGATTTTTCCGTCACTACACCACACAATCCTGGGTGATTAACACCTTAACACAAGAATCTAGGCATTGAAAACGTTGTTATGATGTCTTAGGCAATTCTACCTGTAGAGGGACGTAACTCTAATAGTAACTCTAGATATCATGGGTTATGGACCCTATAGCCTTAAATGTGTTGAAAGTCTAGCAATCTTATTATCTTTTATCAAAGGTAGAATATCAGGATGTATTTTTTTATAAGCTTGATTGCATATCTGTAAATTATCGGTTATTTTTTGTTGATCAGTTATCTCAATAAAGGGCTAAATAATTTAACAGGTGTGATATTTGTTCAAGAATTATTTGAGAGTAAATGTTATTGTAATGATCATTTCTATGGTTAAATATGTGAAAGTTTATTTAATTGTTTTATATGTTTGCTTTTCTTGTTGTCTTATTGTATATATCTGATTTTTTTTTCTTTTCATATTTCAGTTTTTGATGAGAGTGGACATTTTGTACTTTATGCTACTATGCTAGGAATCAAAGGTATGTATGTGTTATATTATTCATAAAACACTTACCTTTGTAGATTCCAGCATGATTTCATTTGAGCGTTAGATAAGACTTAGATAAAAGCACTGTTGCAAGCATACCTAGCATAGAAAATACAGCATGGACTTAAATTATAACTGCTTATAAATTTCACATTGCACCTTAGCTTAGAAAATTTAGAAAATCAGGAAAAATCACAGAACCTTCTAACCTGTGAAGCTTAGGAGACTCATAGGGATCACTCTGTTGTTAGCATTAGTATCGTCTGCAATAATTGGTTCTGTAAATAATTTTAAAAAGAACATTATGATTTTCTGGTAATGCAAATTACCAACTCAATATTCATTTTGACCCAAAATGAAAATCAACATGACCTCCAGCTGAGCAGGGGACACATAAACTTTCTTGTAGTTTTTGTTAAATAAGTTAGTAAATATTTTGCAAAGGAGTTGAATAGAGTACTTCACTGCTGTATTTACATTTCAGTGATTAACCTGCACACAAACAGATGTGTAAGAATGCTGGGGAAGAAAGAGAATGCACGCTTTATGGCACTCAGCATGTTCCAAGGCACAGGCAAAAAACGAAAGGCGGCAGTAGATGTTGAAATGGCAGCCTCCGAAAACCCGATTCTACAGACCGTCAACCTCGACCCTATACTCTTTTGTACAGCCTTCAAGAAAAACAGGTTTTACCTTTTTTCACACAGGGAACCTGATGACATCAAAAGGTTAGTTGGTCTCTTAAAGTTAGATCAAGTTGTAGCATCTGTAATATTTTACTTCAAACCGTCAAATTTAGGATTTATTTAATTTTCTGTCGAGTCTAGAGTGTTGTGTAGTGCATCCATTTCGTGTTGTGAAATATTTTCAAGATGTTAATTTTCAATCATAACTTAAAAACTTTTGCGTAAAAGGTATGAAAAAAAGAACTTCGACTTGGTCATGTGTAAAAGCTTTGGCCGATATCAGGCCGGGATATCACATTAAGCTGTCAGAACCTTAGTTAGTCCAGAACAAGATTTTATTGTCCAACTGAGTGGAAACTAACAATATTAATCAGAAGCTTTGTAACCTTACTAGTCACATACCACTTACATGACCCCAACACTTAAGGTCAAAGACAAAAGGAAATCATCATCCTATTTGTCATTTTAAATTATGGAGACAGTGTTATTAATTTTTCATAAGTCATGATATTTAAACACATTTGTATGCAGTAGAGTGTCTCGTATAGCCAACATTGGTTGGGTAATCAGTAATTTTCACTTAACATATGACTATGGTTATTGAAGATATAAAATGAGTATTGTACATGCTGTTTAGACAGTGTGTGTCATTTAAATAGCATTTCACTGACTTACTCATTGTTATAGTGAGAAATTGAATCCAGATTATTGAAAATATGATTTAACACATGTATTTTAGCTCAGAAACAGAAAGAGATGTGTTCAATGAGAAACCATCAAAAGAGGACATGGTGTCTGCCACTCAGGTATGCTGTTTTTATTTCTGTGTTACTTTGTGTCAGTTTTTACTGAATGTCTTATCTTTTCGTCATGATTTACTACTTGCAAGAAATGTTCTTTTTGGCCATTTCATTTAGGAGTCGGGAAGGTTATTATTCCCATTCTGATTTTGTTTTAAATTGCTGCGTGCCCAGGACAATTATTATGTTGAATATGTTAATCATATTTTACTGTTGACCAAGTTATTAGCTATATAAACTTACTTGCATTGTCTTTTGAAATGAGCTAATACAATTTATTTGGGCCGCTAGCCCTTCACCACTGGGTGATAGGTTTATGGCCTACGTGGGGCAGTCAACAGGTACTGGGTGATAGGTTTATGGCCTACGTTGGGCAGTCAATAGGTACTGGGTTATAGGTTTATGGCCTACGCGGGGCAGTCAACAGGTACTGGGTTATAGGGTTATGGCCTACGTTGGGCAGTCAACAGGAACTAGGTTATAGGTTTATGATCTACGTTGGGCAGTCAACAGGCACCGGGGTATAGGTTTATGGCCTACGTGGGGCAGTCATCAGGTACTGGGTGATAGGTTTATGGCCTACGTGGGGCAGTCAAAAGGTACTGGGTTATAGGTTTATGGCCTACTTGGGGCAGTCAACAGGTACTGGGTTATAGTTTTATGGCCTAAGTGGGGCAGTCAACAGGTACTTGGTTATAGGTTTATGGCCTCCGTGGGGCAGTCAACAGGTACTGGGTTATAAGTTTATGGCCTACGTGGGGCAGTCAACAGGGACTGGGTGATAGGTTTATGGCCTACGTTGGGCAGTCAATAGGTACTGGGTTATAGGTTTATGGCCTACCTGGGGCAGTCAAAAGGTACTGGGTTATAGGTTTATGGCCTACGTGGGGCCCTCAACAGGTACTGGGTTATAGGTTTATGGCCTAAGTGGGGCAGTCAACAGGTACTTGGTTATAGGTTTATGGCCTACGTGGGGCCCTCAACAGGTACTGGGTTATAGGTTTATGGACCAATGTGGGGCAGTCAACAGGTACTAGGTTATAGGTTTATGGCCTACGTGGGGCACTCAACAGGTACTGGGTGATAGGTTTATGGTCTACGTTGGGCAGTCAACAGGCACCGGGTTATATGTTTATGGCCTACGTGGGGCCGTCAACAGGTACTTTGGGCCGCTAGCCCTTCACCACTGGGTGATAGGTTTATGGCCTACGTGGGGCAGTCAAAAGGTACTGGGTTATAGGTTTATGGCCTACTTGGGGTAGTCAACAGGTACTGGGTTATAGGTTTATGGCCTACGTTTGGCAGTCAACAGGTACTAGGTTATAGGTTTATGATCTACGTTGGGGAGTCAACAGGCACCGGGTTATAGGTTTATGATCTACGTTGGGCAGTCAACAGGCACCGGGTTATAGGATTATGGCCTACGTGGGGCCGTCAACAGGTACTTTGGGCCGCTAGCCCTTCACCACTGGGTGATAGGTTTATGGCCTACGTGGGGCAGTCACCAGGTACTGGGTTATAGGTTTATGGCCTACGTTTGGCAGTCAACAGGTACTAGGTTATAGGTTTATGATCTACGTTGGGGAGTCAACAGGCACCGGGTTATAGGTTTATGGCCTACGTGGGGCCCTCAACAGGTACTGGGTTATAGGTTTATGGCCTACGCGGGGCAGTCAACAGGTACTGGGTTATAGGGTTATGGCCTACGTGGGGCAGTCAACAGGTACTGGGAGATAGGTTTATGGCCTACGTTGGGCAGTCAACAGGTACTAGGTTATAGGTTTATGATCTACGTTGGGCAGTCAACAGGCACCGGGTTATAGGTTTATGGCCTACGTGGGGCCGTCAACAGGTACTGGGTTATAGGTTTATGGCCTACGTGGGGCAGTCAACAGGTACTGGGTGATAGGTTTATGGCCTACGTTGGGCAGTCAATAGGTACTGGGCTATAGGTTTATGGCCTACGTTGGGCAGTCAACAGGTACTGGGTTATAGGTTTATCGCCTACATGGGGCAGTCAACAGGTACTGGGTTACAGGTTTATGGCCTACATGGGGCAGTCAACAGGTACTGGGTTATAGGTTTATGGACCAATGTGGGGCAGTCAACAGGTACTAGGTTATAGGCTTATGGCCTACATGGGGCAGTCAACAGGTACTGGGTTATAGGCTTATGGCCTGCATGGGGCAGTCAACAGGTACTGGGTTATAGGTTTATGGCCTACGTGGGGCAGTTAACAGGTACTGGGATATAGGTTTATGGCCTACGTGGGGCAGTCAACAGGTACTAGGTTATAGGCTTATGGCCTACATGGGGCAGTCAACAGGTACTGGGTTATAGGTTTATGGCCTACGTGGGGCAGTTAACAGGTACTGGTTGCTGGTTGCTGGTTTTTCTCTGGGTACTCGGCTTTTCTCTATCACCATAGCTGTTTATAGGATGTAAAACCAAACAAACCAATTTACAATTTAGTATGTTTCGATGTATTGTTACGCTTATGTTACTCAGGAAGTGGAAGTGTGCTTATTATATCATAAAAATAAAAATATTGTTGATTTAAAAAAAAAGTGCCTCCTTATCTACCCTTATTTGACCTTTCTAACGCAGAAAATCAATTATACATTTGTTTGACTCAATCATGAATATAACTTATAAGAATATTGAGCCTTACTGACTGTTGTGTTTTTGCCTTCTCACAGGACATGTCGTACACACGGGTGTCAGAGAACTGTACCATCCACACAACAATGGGCGACATCCAACTCAAATTGTTTGCAAAGGAGTAAGTAAAGCTGGCAAGGATAAATTAACTTTTAAAAACATCTTCATATATGCATATATGAAAAGGTCATATCAAACATCAACCAATTAAAAGGCTATGTTTTCTGGACTTTCTGTGAATATTTCAAATAACATGTCATTTGAGTCTAGAAGTTTGCCCATACATTCAACTTGATTTTGAGGTGCATTTCATTGGAATGTTGTTTTTTTTTTTATATATTTTTGTTTGTTTCCAAAGGTGTCCAAAGACAGTGGAGAATTTTTGTGTTCATGGAAAGAATGGTTACTACAATGGTCACATATTCCACAGGGTCATCAAGGGCTTTATGTTACAGACGGGGGACCCGGAGGGTAAGTACAGCACCCGATGATGGGTATATAAACATGATGTTCTTTTGATCACTTCAAAATTTTGTTTATGTTTTTTGTTTTGTTTATTTGATTAAAATGTCAGTGAGATCATGGTTGCATCTGATACGACATGAGGAAAGTCATAATGTCATCATCTGCAAACATTGATAAGTCTGTGATTGTCTTTGGTACAAATATTTGTAAGATTATGATTGCAGTGGATGTTAAAAGTTAAGATATCAGGATTACATTTGGTACAAACATGAGTGTAATTGTAACTGAATCTGGTACACACATTGTTAACATCTTGATTTGAATGGATACAAAGTTGGTAAGAACACGGTTTTTAGCTCACCTGGCACAGAGTGCCTGTGAGCTTATGATGTGGAGTGTCGTCAGTCTTCCCTCATTTGTCAGCTTCTTCTTCGAATGACTTCATCTGAAGGACTGGAGGACCTAGGGTCGTGATATTTGGCCTGTAGGTAGTTGGAACAGAGTGCTAGAAAATATAAACAACCCTGACCTACTTTCAAGGTCACATGGGTCAAATATGTGAAAATATTTAGATAACTTCTTTTGAATACCCAGGAGGCCCAAAGTGATGATACTTGGCCATGCTTTGATTTAGGGCTACCAACCAACTGAATGGCCTTGTTTGACTTTTAATGTCACAGAGGTCAAATGTGTTCCAACTTTTGAACAGGTTCTTTTGAACAACCAATTGTCATAGGTCACGTTATTTAGGTTGAAGCTTAATTTCACATTTAAATCTGTTTGAACTTGACCCACTTTTAAGGTTACAAGTGTGAGAATAATACCAAGTGAGTTATGCAGGCCCATTGGGCCTCTTGTGATGGATAAAATAATGGAAAGATCATGTTTGCATAAGGTATAAACACACAAATAAGACCATGACTGTATCATATACACGATAACTGATCAAACTAAATGCAGAACTGTAGTCACAGTTTACTGGAGCATTGCTGATCAGTGATCATAGATGGAGGTAACGTTAATTACTACAGATCTCAGATGTTTGTGTTGTAGGTACAATACAAAACAGGAATGTTCATTTTAAATCTGTCAACTACCGGTAGAAGGATGTTTTGGATAGTGTGGTGAAAGTTTTGTTCTGCATCTAGCATTGCATTGAGTTATTAACACAAGATATTTATCAATATTAGGAAATGGTACCGGTGGCGAGGCAATATGGGGAGGAGAGTTTGAGGATGAGTTTCACCCTTCATTGCGACATGATAGACCGTACACAGTGAGCATGGCAAATGCTGGACCTAACACCAATGGTTCCCAATTCTTCATCACAGTCTGTCCCACTGTAAGTATTACCTAATAGTTGTGGATTTAAAATGTTCATAGAAGTGAGTTGAAACTATTATTTTGTCTTTCCACCTACCCCCTCTTTTATACTTCCATCCCTCCTCTTTCCTCCTACCACACCCCTCCTCCACTCCTCCAATAATGTCCCTCTCCTTTTACCTGACAACCCTTCTCTTTCCTCCCATCCCAACCCTCCTCCACTCCTGCAACCTTGTCCCTCTCTACTAGCCTGCCCTCCCCAACCTTTCTATTTCCTGCCAACCCGACCTTGCTTCAATCCACAACCTTGCCAACCTCTTCTAGCCTCCCAACCCCTCATCTTTTCTCAATCCATCTCAACTCCTTTAACCTTGTAAATTCCCACTAGATTACCATCTCCTATTTCCTGCTAACCCCAACACCCCTCCTCTTGCCTGTCATCCCCTCCTCTCTACTCCCATCCAAAATCTTCTCCACCCCTGTCTCCCTCCTTAAGCCTGCCATCCCTCTTCTTTCTTCAACCTCACTCCAACCATCCTTCACTCTTGTCCACCTCCTCTAGCCTGCCACCCTTCTTCTCTCCTCCCACCCCCGCCCTCTTCCACTCTGTCTCCCTCATCTAGCCGGCCACCCCTTCTATTTCCTCCCAACCAGAACCCTCCTCCACTCTGTCTCCCCCCATGGTCTGCCACCCCTTCTCTCTCCTCCCATCCCCAACCCTCCTCCACTCTGTCTCCCTCCTCTAGCCGGCCACTTCTCCTCTTTCCTCCCTCCCCATCCCTCTTCCATTCTGTCTCCCTCATCTTGCCAGCCACACCTTCTATTTCCTCCCATTCCCAACCCTCTTCCACTCTGTCTCCCTCCTCTAGCCTGCCACTTCTCCTCTTTCCTCCCTCCCCATCCCTCCTCCACTCTGTCTCCCTCATCTTGCCTGCCACACCTTCTATTTCCTCCCAACCAGAACCCTCCTCCACTCTGTCTCCCTCAATGGTCTGCCACCCCTTCTCTCTCCTCCCATCCCCAACCCTCCTCCACTCTGTCTCCCTCCTCTAGCTGGCCACCTCTCCTCTTTCCTCCCAACTAGAACCCTCCTCCACTCTGTCTCCCTCCTTTAGCCGGCTACTTCTCCTCTTTCCTCCCTCCCCATCCCTCTTCCACTCCGTCTCCCTCATCAAGCCTGCCACACCTTCTATTTCCTCCCATCCCCAACTCTCCTCCACTCTGTCTCCCTCCTCTAGCCGGCCATTTCTCCTCTTTCCTCCCATCCCCAACCCTCCTCCACTATGTCTCCCTCCTCTAGCTGGCCACTTCTCCTCTTTCCTCCCTCCCCAACCCTCCTCCACTCTGTCTCCCTCATCTAGACTGCCACCCCTTCTATTTCCTCCCTCCCCAACCCTTCTCCACTCTGTCTCCCTCCTCTAGCCGACCACTTATCCTATTTCATCCCTCCCCAATCCTCTTCCACTCTGTCTTCCTCATCTAGCCTGCCACCCCTTCTCTCTCCTCCCATCCCCGACCCTCCTCCACTCTGTTTCCCTCCTCGGTCTGCCACCCCTTCTCTCTCCTCCCATCCCCAGCCCTCCTCCACTATGTCTCCCTCCTCTAGCCAGCCACTTCTCCTATTTCATCCCTCCCCAACCATCTTCCACTCTGTCTCTCTCATCTAGCCTGCCACCCCTTCTATTTCCTCCCAACCAGAACCCTCCTCCACTCTGTCTCCTTCCTCGGTCTGCCAACCCTTCTATTTCCTCCCATCCCCAACCTTCCTCCACTCTTTCTCCCTCCTCGGTCTGCCACCCCTTCTCTCTCCTCCCATCCCAAACCCTCCTCCACTCTGTCTCCCTCCTCGGTCTGCCACCCCTTTTATTTCCTCCCATCCCCAACCCTCCTCCACTCTGTTTCCCTCCTCGGTCTGCCACCCCTTCTCTCTCCTCCCATCCCAAACCCTCCTCCACTCTGTCTCCCTCCTCGGTCTGCCACCCCCTTTATTTCCTCCCATCCCCGACCCTCCTCCACTCTGTTTCCCTCCTCGGTCTGCCACCCCTTCTCTCTCCTCCCATCCCCAGCCCTCCTCCACTATGTCTCCCTCCTCTAGCCAGCCACTTATCCTATCTCCTCCCTCCCCAACCCCTTCACTCCTGTCTCCCTCCTCGGTCTGCCACCCCTTCTTTTTCCTCCCATTCCCATTCCTCTTCCTCTCTGTCTCCCTCATCTAGCCTGCCACACCTTCTCTCTCCTCCCATCCCCAACCCTCCTCCACTCTGTTCCCTCCTTGGTCTGCCACATCTTCTATTTTCTGCCTCCTCAACCCCTTCACTCCTGTCTCCCTCCTCGGTCTGCCACCCCTTCTCTCTCCTCCCATCCCCAACCCTCCTCCCCTATGTCTCCATCCTCTAGACAGCCACTTCCCCTCTCTCCTCCCTCCCCAATCCTCCTCCACTCTGTCTACTACCTCCTCTAGCCCGACACCCTTCCTCTTCCTCAAGTGTGTGTGTGTATGTGTGTGTGTGTGTGTGTGTGNGTGGGGGGGGGGGGGGGGGGGGGGGCTGGGGGGCTTAATGTGGGAGAAATCGATGTGGCTGGGAAGGTGACCCCATACCTTTTCCAGTCCAATCGGGGAATCAAACCCCTGGTTGCCATTGTGAAAGGTGAAATGTGCCATTTGATTACCCAAAATCTGTCGCTGGTATATCCTTGTTTGTGTTTTTGCAGCCCTGGTTGGACAATAAACACACAGTATTTGGCCGTGTGGTGAAGGGCATGGAAGTCGTACAGAACATCGGAAATGTAAAGACAAACCCAAAAACGGACAAACCTCATGATGACATCCGAATCATCAGTTTTACCATTAAATAGTGACACGGACATTTTGAAATCTTAATCCTCATACTGTGATGTTTCAGTCAAGAGAATATGATGGATAAAAAAAAGCTGTCAAATGGGATTTACAAGGAATCATTTACCAATTTCTTTCATGCAACATGTTGTTGCAACAAAATGTAAAGTAACATCATCTTACTATATTATTACACTGTATTGTGCAACAATGGATAAGAGATGTGATGGAACAGAGAGGCCTATAGCCTTTATGAATGGAATTATAATCCAATAAGCTGTGAATAGTAAAACATTACAGGTGAGTCTCGTTAATCCATCCACCATCAGCTGTGTATAATATTACATTATAGGTGAGTCTCGTTAATCCACCCACCATCAGCTGTGTATAGTATTACAGGTGAGTCTCGTTAATCCACCCACCATCTGCTGTGTATAGTATTACAGGTGAGTCTCGTTAATCCACCCACCATCAGCCAGTGTCTCTGTATTCAGTTCGGATATTTACTGTGTCCCAACAGTCCTGCCATCTCACCTGTACACACATTTTTGACATTACTTTCCTCGTGTGAACAATCCAGCCATCTCATCTATACATGATTTCTATTCACTGTTTTTGAAAATATGATTTAATTGATTAAGTGAGTATTCTCTCAAGTATATAGTATAACTCACTGAATTCAATTAAGTTTATAATTATCAAAGCTGGATATCAAAATGCCTTATTATCAGCTCATTTGTGATAGGATTAGGGAGAATCAACTGTTCTGTGATGCTTTTCCCAATAACGAGGAGCAAAAATTACTATCTCAGATTTGTTGAGCTGCAATTTAGTAAAATAACAAGAAAATTACCTGGGTGACTGGTGTTTCACTTCAAGACATCTTCTTTTTCAATTTGTATATATATTTTTTTTTTTTAGGTCACCTGAGCTTTGCTCAAGTGACCTATTCCAATCGCTTTTCGTCCGTTGTCGTCCGTCGTCCGTCGTGCGTCGTGCGTAAACTTTTACATTTTCAACTTCTTCTCAAGAACCAGTGGATGGATTTTTTTCAAACTTGGTCAGAATCATCCTTGGTAGATGAGGCTTCAAAATTGTAAAATTGGGATTCCTACCCCAACCCCTGGGGCCAGGGCGGGGCCCCAAAGGGAAAATTA